TGAAAGAATACCCAGCCAGGACTCACGGCTGGCTATTTTTTCATCCACTTTTCTTTCTTCTCATTGACATTACAATTGTTCTAATCACTTCTCTTATACATTCCTTGGCATTACTGTCTGTTTGTTCTCATTAATATATATATATATATATATATATATATATATATATATATATATATATATATATATATATGTGTGTGTGTGTGTGTTTTTAAACACAGTTATATGCATTTATGTGTACGTGTGTAGGTTCTAAAGTGACACGGTATTTGTTAGTGATATGTATGTGTCTTGTTATAGTCATTTATTCCAATTAGTTATCTCCTGTTTTATCACTTACATGTAAATATCTTGAACTATCATAAGTTTCAATAATAATTTTCATTACGTTCATTTTGTTTTATTCGCTTGGTGTTTTTTCCTTAGTTGCCAATCTTTGTTCTATATTTTTACACATGAATTCACAGCAGGTCCCCTTGACAGTTTTTACTTTGGGACCTCCTTCTGTATTATATCAACTTGTTACTTGCACTGTATCGTATAATGTACTGAATAAAGAATGTAAGGGATCGGGAAAAAAAGGGGCATGTAATATGTGCCTATTCAGTCCGCCATCTGTATATCAGGTAATCGGGATGCTTTTTTCCTTTCATCTCTTAAGGTAACATACGTCAGTGAATCAATAGATGAATCATCAATCTATATATATGAGTGGCGTAAAAAGTGTAGCGCATTGGAGGTTAATATACAGGAGAAAGTACCAAAGTTACAAACTATAGACAGGACCTCTGTTACTATACAATGCAAAAACTCAATCCAGAACAAGGAATACCAAGCAATAAAGACATTACTGAATGTTCAAATTAGCACGTTAGGAATTCGATACATAGAAAGCAACTTTATAACATTGACTAAATGCGGGAGTTTTACATCGAACACTTTTTTTTTCACTTTCGCTTCAAAACTTCATGGGTTTTCATTGCTTAATCGCTTCAATTTTCTCACTCGTCCCTGGTATTATTAGCATTATTTTTGTCGAATTCTTTGCTAAAACTCTTGTCATACCGAGTACTTCCCGTCACTCATGCGTGTCACCTCGGGCACGTTACAGCAGATCAGTGCAATGAGTGTAAAGCTTTGCAACCTTTCCATTATCTACGCTATACATACAATAATTGGTGTAAATACGAAATTCGTCGCATACTGTAGCCCGCAGATAAGCGTACGCCGCAACAGATTACAAACGGCAAGCTCGTACCTAATTACGGTGCCTAGTGATCAGCTCATAATTAGTGGCTGACCAGCCATATCTGTGATGCCGTAGTAGAGCGAGTCGCGCATTCTGGGCTAAACCCACTCGGCATTCAGTTCAATCGCTGATGAAGCCATCTCGATGAGCGCCGTCAGCTGAACCACTACGTCATTCCGGGTCCCTGGTCGTCGCTTTGTTTGTACGTTTCTTCAAAGAACATGTAGTCCTGCAATCAATAATCATTACGTCATTGAGTTGTACCGTAGGGCATACTGGATCCAATAATAAAAATAATACATTGCACGCGCACTTTCCAGTCCACACGGACAATAACGCACAACCGCTACATTTGAGACGCGCAGAAATACCGCTAGAAACCAACAATAATTCCAATAAAATGAATACCTTACAGCACACATATACCAGGTATGGAAGGGCTTCACTAAACGTTGTAAAGGCAATTTGACAAAATCAGAGGTTCTCGCAACGGCACTTATGCATTAAAAAAAACATTAAAATAGTAGTGCACCGCGTTGCCATATCCAGAAACACATATCATGTGCATTGAAAATTTCAAGACACTATTAATTATTTATTATCACCCTGAACAAGAGGAAGACGTACTTCATTGCGTTCTACAATGATAATTCACTCACAGGCATGACTGAACAAAAACAGGCATAGAAAGGACATTGCGCTTAAAATAAACAAATCAGAAATCTCACCAAATAGTTTTATCTTTCCAGCAACAAAAAATATGTCTCTTAAAGGAAGTTTTTTCTAGGTTCTATGCTTTCTCGTTAACGTATGACCACATATATATGCAAATGTTCTTACAAACACCAAATTCGAGGAGCCACACAAATACACAGCATCACACATGGTCACGCATTTACAAATTGTGTTGCCTGTTTCGCATCAGACACCGACATATTCCTGCGCCTCACGTGACCCACAAGCAAAAAAATTACGGCATATTCACGGGGTGAATGATGATGAATGGGCGAAGCTCCGGAGGGATTCATCGGTAAACTGTGAATCTTCCGTGTAATTCGCCCAGTCGATCATCATGTAAAGACGTGAGAAACGCTGTGTGTGTATATACACAAATCAACTTTTATTTGTTCTTAGACGATGGATGGCTTGCGATGTCCCTTGCCTCGCGCGCTCGCACATCGGGATTCTGTCTGCGAGCGCGCGCTGCTGCCGCCTTGCGCTCTCTCCGCTGTGCAGCCTTATCCAACCGGCGACTCCGAGCGCGCGCCAACAGCGAACGGATTTTATTACAACGCTCCCCCTAGCGTACGTCGCCGCACTAAATCGAACGATTGCCTTCAACCAATGACACGCGCCATATGTGACATCATTCCTATTTTATAAGATCTCGCGTCTTTTATCAACTACAAGTACCGCTTTCTAGTTTATAACATCTTGCATCTTTTCATCATCAGCTACAAGTACCACCATCTAGTAAACACTACAAGAACTAAACGAGAGGTGGCTACATACAGGAGACGGTACCGCCATCTAGTGAACACTGCAAGAACTAAACTAGAGGTGGCTACATACAGGGGACGGTACCGCCATCTAGTGAACACTGCAAGAACTAAACTAGAGGTGGCTACATACAGGCTACAGGGGACGCACAGCCCACGCCCTAAGGAGCTTCGCCCCTAAAAAATTTGATGCGCAAATCTTAACATGACCTCCGGGACGGCTTTATGCTCTCCCATAGTAGAGTACCTAGTACTCTGAATCGTGAACCGCTTTTTCTAAACACAACGTCAATAAAATTTACCCAGTAGAAAAACACGTGAATTAGTCTCAAAATATAGAAAATCAACTTCAACCGCGTGATGTTTATTCGGAAAATGGAGCCCCTGATGTCCTTGGTCTGCAGTGTACACTCGGTAAACGCGTTCGCCGTAATATATACCAAGGCCATAGTGACAGCAGTTACTGCGTAGCAACAGTACGCGTGTAGTTTCCAGCCCACGTGGCCAGCCGGTATTAAGTTTCACCGCCAACAGTAATTATCAAAGCGACGCTGAACGTCGTAACGGCATTGTGTAATGCCGACGAGTAATGACGAATCAATGCGCTGTGATCTCGCATTAGTTTTTTCGGGACAGATTTAAAAAACGCACGCACAGAGGAGGAGGAAAACGTAGTCGACAAACGCCAGACATCTACTGACTTGGACGTTATGACGTCAAACTCATCATTACGTTTCATAACAGCGACTTTAAAATGACGTTGAATGCTCCAACAATGTTGAAGTTTGCAATAATCTGCAAGGTGTCTTTTCTGTAAGGTTTGTTTTCCAACCAAAAACTCTCGTTCACAGACTGCTTTTCTCGTTTGTGTTGTACTCGCGTGCTCGTGTGCCATCGCTGCACAATGAGCGAGAAAAGCAGTCTGTGAACGAGAGTTTTTGGTTGGAAAACAAGCCTTACAGGTAAGCCGACTTGCAGATGATTGCAAAATGTCTGTTGTAGTGAGGTATCGTTGCCGCGAGATCTCTCAATCGAAGCTACGGCGCAGACCTAAAAATGTTTAGACAGAGGGAGGCAAGTAACTAGACAAACACCGTACATCGATTATTTTAAATCCTCAGGTGCACACGTTTTTAAACGCTGGTGCACCGTGCCAGCATTGTGTAAACCCTTGCGTTCCTGAACCTATAGCGGTGTCTACCTGTGGTTTAAGCTCCGCTAATTCCTAGTAAACATTTCTTCTTCCAATACGTCTCTGTGTTCTCAAAATACATGCTGCGAACACGAACATGATACACTCGACGCCACACGTCCGTAAATTTTGTGTCTTGTTTCTAATCAGACGCCGAAACGCACTTATGCTTTCTCTATTTTTCTTAACATTGTTTTTTATTATGGTCTACTAGACTTAAAAAAATTGGGCCAGTAAGGAAACGCGCAAAGTTCACGTGCAGTGACTTTTACGCATAAAAATAGATTAAAATACTTCAGGACATTGTGTGGCCCCATGCTGAAACACCTACTACATACAGTCTGAACGATACCAGAGAAGCATGTCAAAAAATATAAAGGATGCCATTACAAGTGATTGCGATAATAATGTGAAACAAGCGGTCGATAACATAATTTGTCACTGGTGGGGACGAAACCTGCAACAGAATGTGAAACATTTGGTCACACATTCGGTTGCCGCTTTTGAGCCTGCAACATTCGCTTGTAACCGGTTGCAATCAAACCTTCAACTTCCACTGGGTAGTTCAGTTGCAGGTTGAATCCCTGCCGGAGGCCACTTATCTTTCCACATACTTTAATTTCTTCGCTTCTATACCATAATCACTGAACGTAGCATCCCCTACACTTTTCATGGCATTACTATAAGTTACCAGTAACGTTGCTTCAAACAAAACAAAAAAAACGAGCCCTTAAAATTCCTCTTTTTGCCTTTATACAGCGAACATTCACCCCAGGCGTCCGAATAATTTAATAAAGTATAATGTTGGACGTGTTGGTAAGATGTAATAATAGCGTAGTGCGTAAAATATGCGAAACACAGAACAAGGGAAGGGACTTTTGTCTCATATATTTTATGCACTACGTCATTAATAATGAGTAATTGAAAGTCTGACAGCTTGGTTTGAAGCGTACGCCAAGAATGCGCATTCGGAGTGATGTATGATATTCGCCCTCATAGCGTTACCCTGGCGTCAATGCCAATGGCAGTCGATTTCCTTTCATTTATTTCTATTATACTGTCAGTCCCTTTTGGGCTATAAGAAGGGTGGAAAAATAGGCATAAATACACAGAGAATTGAGTGCTCCCATAATAACGAATGATAAAGAATAGTCAAAGTACTTTACTCTACAGCACACAAAATAATATAAGATGAACTATACGTCTTTGTGTACTATCGAGAATACACCTGCCTTAACGAGCTAGACGCGCGGTCCTCTGCATCAACCGCTCCTGGCCTTTATGCAGGTAACTGAACTCTCTCATTTTACTTAACTTCTGCCGTAGGGCATACTGGAGCCAATATAATGAAAATAAAACAGCGCACGTGCACTTTAAAACCCCCATTTACAATGGGTAGCAAGTTACACCGGCAACAGTACCATTTTCACCCATTGTTCAACACTGTAACGTTATTTTCCAAGTACAACGACGACAGAAAAGCCAATACGCTGGGATCTCGGAGTTTGCGGCACACATATGAACGAAAAAAGTCAGAGAGCAAAACAGGCATACGCGAACAACGACACACATCAACTGCATTAAATCCGCTTGTACACGTGTACGCACGTAGGCTCGCCGTGTCAACTCTGTTAAAGCTCCTCGACGCTTTTATTTGTATTTGCGCCTATCTGCTGTTTAAACAATGTCGATTCCTGGTAATCCCTAAGCGTTCTTGTATCAGTGTCTCTGTGGGTGTTGCGAATCCGCGCTGCTGACGCGGACACGATATGTAGCAACCAATGACCCCTGTGAGCTCCGACGGGGCTGGGATGATGCCGATAAGGCACATAATTCTGCGTCGGTTTCTAGCCGAAACTTCGCGAGACATATATCATAGAGGCGGGAAGTACAGTCGTCAGCAAGCTTAACAGAAACGCTCCACATAGTGATCTGGACTGCTTCAACTGATTTCAGCCCTTGTGAACATATTTTTTCTTTGTTGGTTTGACGTCCCAAGACCACAAATAGTATTATGAGAAACGCCATAGTGAAGGACTCCAGAAATCTCAATGACCTGGGGCTCTTCAACGTGCATTTAAATTGAAGTACATGGACCTGAGACATGTTCGCCTCCATCAACCTGCGGGTCCACAACCATGTACTTTAGCCACTGCACCACCACGATGGATGCATTGGGCGCTATTGCCGAGATAGTATCGTGCTATGCTTGAATACCATGTCGGCATGCATGGTTAATCCATCAGTATGGGAACCCAAAAATACGCGGCGCCATGGCGTCAGTCAAATAGTTTCGAAACACACCGTGGAACGTTCGATTTGAGCTTTCTGAATTAATAGGAATAAAAAATATCTTATGGAACGGTTCGGTTTTGAAGAAACGTAGATGAGTGCGGGGCTCACAATAAGCATAGCGGCGGCAATGAGGGTGGCCTTCAGATGCACATCCATGTCCAACGGAAAGGTGACGCCGAACGTATCCGCATCCGTGAAATATTCTTTCACGAGGCCGCTCCACTGCTTGGTGATTTTTCCGATGGCGTAGCCGTTCGTTGAGTACACCTGCGAGGCATGTGAATGGCACTGAAATAATATCTTCTTATCGGGTGACAAGGAGGCTCCCGTTAATGAGCATGAAAAGTTTATTTAGCCCTGTGCCCACATGTATTTCCGCTGAAATGAAGTGTTCTAATTTTTTGCTAGAGTAAAAGGGGGATAGAGAAGGGTGAATGATTTAGATGGTGTCGCCAAAGACGCCTGTGTATGTCTGCCAAGTCTTTCTGTGCCCGGCTTCAGTCACGCTAATTTCAGTTTGTCATTTGCCAGGTGAGAGGACGGACGGTGTTGGGGAGGATGGTTAGAAGTCGAAGGGACGATGGACATTCTGCAAATGCTCCGACAATTATCTAAGTCTATTTTCGTTGATGCCGCAGTTCAGAAGCCTGTCCATTCAAGGTTCGCTCTTACAAAGTTTATGTATAAGAGAAGATACAGCTAGGAATTGGGGCTGCGAATACATGCGACCTTGACACAGGAAGAGGGTGGGGACAATAGCGGATACTAGTCCCCACTAGACGACATTATCAAGCTCTCGTCCTAATTAACCCCTTTATTACCGTTTGTGTAACCCTAATTTTCGCAGCATTGCCTAATATAAAGGGTTGATAAAAGCTTCTTGCCTTGGATATGTAAATGCGGTATGGAAGGCACTGATAGCATCCAAAGATGTACTGTACAGCACAACAAGAGTGACCGTTAGCTTTGTTGAGCTATCTCCACGGTTGGGTTACTTGATGCTACTGCTTACTGTTGCGTTCAACGCAAACAGGCCGACGGGCACAGCCACAAGTAATAAAGTCCGAGAATACCAGTAGGTATCTAATACCTGTAACTGCACGTGTCCTGTATCTGTACGCCTGTACACAAGTACGTGAGCGCTACGTATCCTGTAGGTGTCCTGTACGTGTAAGATTACCTGTATGTGTCCAAGATTACCTGTACCCACCGTGAATTCGACGTCGCATGCACAAGGCATGCTCTGGGTGCATATCGGTCCCTTGATGTCCAGCACTCGCTTCTGATTGCGGTCGTATATGCTGAAGTAGGGATAGCATAACGACCACCGCTGACAGACGTATGCGATGGTTTTCCCGGGCGGTGCTTGGACTTCCATTTCCTGTCGGATATGACAAAAGGTTAGCGAATAAACAGCCAAATGAGAGATAATGAACGTGCTACCCGAAGATATAGTAAGTTTCCCGTAAATGTGGTCACCTTCTTTTATGTTTTTTAACCCTCAATCTGTCACCACTACATTGTCATTTTTTGTATACCAGACATACCATAGTAGCATTTGTTCAACCTTTTCTTTTTTCACGGCATTCATGTTTCACTTTTTTCAATCCCAATATGTTCACTGTATTTTTGAAAGCTTTTTTGCTATTGTTTATTAACGACCATGATAGTATTGATGCTTTTCTTCAATTTTATGCAATGCTCTGCAAGATGTAAGTCATAAAAGGTGTAAGACATAATAAATAGTAACTAGTTCAAGATACGCTAAAGCGACACATTCAATCAGTTTACAAGCTATAGGTCAAGGGTCTGATTTGGCAGATCAACACGTGTAGCCTCTAGGCGAGTAGAGCTCCACCGTGCGTCTACCCCGCCTATCCGAAATGAGCTACAACCCCATAAATGAGTGCAAGGCTAACATTCGGAGAGAATATTAGAAATAATGTTGCCGATACAAAGATATGTTACTGTTTCAGAACTCCACTGTGATTTGTTTCGCCATAATTGAAATCGTGAGGAGGAATAAAGATCAAATAATATTTAATTTAGTATTACACCCACACGAGGTGCGCTAACGTCAGTGAAACATTACAGCCTCCAAAACAATTTTTTGTATTGTGATTTCATTGCATTAGTGAAGTTTTCTGAAGTTTTGCTTTGGGTTCCTTGGAAGAAAATGTAAACAATTTCTACCAGCAAGGGATAGTGTAGGCCCTCGCCGACACTGTCGAAATCTATTGTATCACTGAGAGTTGGTGCAGGAACCTTACGTTGACATCGCTATCGGTATTCTTTTAAACATTTTATTGTTTACCCAGCCATGTTCTCTCAGAAATAGCTTTATTTTGGTTTTGCGAAGTCGCAATTCACTCTCCAAAACAATAGTTTTTTTTTTCTTTCTCTTTAGCCTTTATTCAACAAAACGCCCAACAAACGTTTGACGAGATAGAGCTCTAGCTCACTCTTTACCCAATCGATGGCTCACCTGCAAGCAGAAGCAGGAGCAGCAACAGATGCAGAACAGCGTGTGGCTGCAACGGAGCGGCCGGACGAAGTGCATCACGACGCTGTCCCTGTAATCTCGAACGTCCATTTCCAGGCATCGCCTCGGGCCACAGCAACACCTGGCACAACATCCCGAATCTTCAAAAGACACGAGTACGGTCATCATCATCATCATCATCATCACCATCATCATCATCATCATCATCATCATCAATGCATCTACACCCACTGCAGGGCAAAGACCTTTCCCATGTTACGCCAATCAACACAGTCCTGTGCTTGCTTCTGCTGCGTTGTACCCGCTAACTACTTAATCTTTCCTGCCCACCTAATTTTCTCAATACCCTTCACGCATTTGCCCTCTCTTGCAATGCAGTTAGTTACTCCTAATGAACAGCGGTTATCTTGCCTACGCGCTACGTGCCCTATAGACGCATGTTCATCTCTTCTTGATTCGGCTACGATGTCCGTAACACTCATATGTGTTCTGACACTTTCTGCTCTCTTGCTGACACTTTAGGTTACACCTATAATTTTCTTTTCCGTTTCTCACCGCGTCGCCTCAGTTTAAGTTTAAACATTTTTGTAAGTAAAGAACAAACTTGTTAAGAAGGCTTTAACAGGTTCACAATAAAGCTGTCCAAATCAAACCCAATGACTAATCTACGACAGTACCAAAATCACAAATAACAAATACCTACTTCCTTCATAAATTTTAGTTTTTTTAAAGAATTCGCAAATTCAGTATTATTGCAATTAGAGCAGTGCGAATTCGGCAGTTTTCGTCATTTGCAACTACTTTCACGTGACTCAAGACCCCGTGTCTTAACCAAATAATAGGTCCGTATCCATAGTTTAGGTACCAGCAACGTGAGTGTAGATGACGACCAAGTTTTTCTTTCGCTGCTTTGCATTGCATACTTTCGCTACTTTGCATTGCATATTTTCGGTGGTTCGTGCTTAGCACTCCCACGATCATTCTAGTTACCCGTACTGCGGCCAAACGTGACCGATTTAACGAAAGTGCGATGCCGTTGGTCGATGCATACGCGCCGAGACAAGTGAGCACATTGGAATTATCCAGTTCTCCGATTGAATTAGTGTCAAATGAACGAACTTCTACCGCATGATAATACATGCTTTACATCGAAGAGATACGTTCACGGTAGTTCTGAGTTATCCTAAGAAAGCTTTTTTTTATTGGCATGAGCAGCAGTGGACACTCTTCTTTCTCTTCAAAGCACTTCCCGCCCAGCACTCCAGCTTTTCAGGAAATTCGGGAAAGGTATTGTTTCTGTAAACATCAAAAGTGTTACACAGAGTCCATTATTCAGAGTTAAAGTTATGGATTATACAGGACACACATAATGTCAGAGCCTACGTTTGCTTAACATAATGACCAACTAGAAAACAGGATAATCATTGCAAATTGATTTTGCTACGTGAAAAGAGCAGATGGTTTGCGAGTAGCTGAGATAGTAGTGGCATTTAGTTGAGCAGACCATAGAAACGCGCTTTTTAAAGACGATAGTCTTTCTTGGGGACCTTCGACGGAGAAATTTTTGTCTGTCTGTGTGTACATTTGTCTGTTTGTCCACTTTTACCGATACCTCAAACGGTCCGAAACGGCCAGCCCCATCCGCAGCGCCCACCGATATTGCTCAAGAATCAGCGCTCACACTTGTGCGATTGTCAAATAAAAAGCAATTATTGCGCATATCTGAGGCACCATAACAACGCGTCACTGTTTTGTGTGTGTGCATTTATACTAGAGAAGGCACACAAAAGTAATTCTAAAGACCATAGCGTTTATCACGTTGCGCTGACAGTGCAGCACGATGCTTAAAAAGGTAAGTGCTTCCAATGATTTGCTAAGACGACACGGTGGTGGCACCTGTTCGTCGCTTTGCGTTCTACACCCTATCGTCTTTGAGACAGGCGCGCATCTTTCTCCGCGGGCGCGCACGGCTTCCTTCATTTTCAAACTGCCAGATGACGCTCGTGTCTAACATGCCTCGATTCGCTCGTTCGCTTCCGATACACGCTCGAGGCACTAGCGCAGTGCCTCCAGAATACCATTTACCAATTTTCTTGAGCAGAACATCAAATAAACGTTTTGTTCACTCTCTCCAGACGATCGTCTTTCGACGAAATTTACAGTGTAACATGCAGATTCGAAGCCATTTTTTTTAACGAAAGCTGTCTATTGCTAGGAGAAATGATAAAGCATGGGGCAGCGGTGTCACGAGTGGTCTCCTTCGGCTGCTGTTATCAGGTATGTTATTCACAGCTTCCTATATAAACACGCGCGCCATTGGCTGCGTTTTGAGTTATCTCACGATGTCGAACGTCACCGAGTTAGCTCGCGATGTAGAATGCTTGCAACAATGCGGTGTTGCGGCCTCAATGTGATGACTTCGGAAGTGTGTTCGCCGGGACGAACTCCCGCTTTCGACGGGAGATTTCTCAAGTGGCACTTTGGTTTCGGGGGCGAAGTCTGTGACCGCCTGTGGTTCGAGAACAACCACAGTTATAAACGAATTGCGAAACGCATTTAACCACTCATTATACTCTTCCATGACCGTGGTCATGCGAGGATCAATGTGGGGCATGGTAAATGAACGCTGTAGTAATCCCAAGCGCAACGTGTGCCTAACTTCATGAAGCAGCCCAACCTATGCAATCAATAATTCTTGCTTCAATGCAGCGTTGTGTTGAACCCAGTGCTACACTCTGGGGCCACGTGCCTCAGCTTTCGATGGTTAACTATTTCTGCTAGTAGGGTAGCCAACCGAGTCAAGCATTGGTTAACCTCCCTGCCTTTCCTCTCTATTTATCTCTCTCTCTCTCTATCTCTCTCAACTATTTTTGCTTGGTCGGTGACTCTCTTACATGGGCTCTCAGAACCACTTCGACAGCGCCACAAAACATGTAGTTTGCCCAATGTAAATACACTACAGTAACTCTGAGAAGCGTGCGCCATTAGCATACCTGTAAATCAAGAAGTGAGGTCACCTGGCATTTTAATGCATTCTTCCATACGTACCGTTAAATGAGTCTGTGTATCCAATAACAAGTGCGTGAGGTTCGCCTTATCAATATTTACACATATCACAACAGTCTGGTTGGTTCTACCTTCTTTGGGAGCAGTGTTTAAAAAAAATATCCGCCGAGCAAGGCCTCCAAGATAAGGTCATCATTTAGAGATTCACATTTCAACTACGAATCATGCTTTAAGTTCCCTTTGCCGCAATCATCGACGAGAACGTGACTCCGTATCACATTCTAAATGAGGTTGCAGGATCGAATCCCGCTCATGGTGGCACCATTTCTATGTAGGCGTGATGCTTGAGGCCCGCGATCTTAGATTTAGGTGCAGGCAAAAAAAAAAAAAAAAGCACAGGAGGGCAAAATTTCCTGAGCCATTTACTAAGTCGTAATTTTTAAGCCAATATTAAGGCGAAGTCCTCGGATGCCTCATCAAACGAAAATTAGACCGTTGCCATCAGTATCGCGCGCCGTGGAAGGGTGCGAAAAATCATCGCGTAATGACACCCCCATATGAGGCCATGATGATTTCGCAAATCCCCAAAACAGGCAATGCAAAAACAGGTGAGGTGCCTGCGATCCTGACGTACAAAACCAGGTAAGGTGCAGAAAGCTTTCGAAGCGAGGCGTGGCCGGATAGTGGACGACATATTGAGCACTAAGAGACAGGAACATGACATAGAGGACAACACAAAGCGCTCATGTCCCTGTCTCAATATGTCGCCAAGTTCCGTTTACCAACATGCCAGGCACTGCACCGTGCTCCCGACCGGGCTGCAGAAATTAGGTGCCTTTTCTCATCTTCTAACCACTGCCACCACCACCAACATGCCCCAAAACATGGCACTGCTAAGGATGAATACATCAGTTGGGGAGAAATAGACGGCTTTCGCCTTCGAGTTGTCTTAATTAAGTGAATGCATTAGGAAACCTGAGAGCTTCTCTAAGTTGAGTTCAAGGTGTACGAATATTAGTGGTCAAATGAACATAACGAGCGTTCATTTTAGTGCGCCCACCACGACACTTCAGCGTGTACTTACTTTCGGCGATTTTGTATATGAACTGACCCATCGAGTTCTTCGCCTCGTAGGAATTGCAAGTTTCGATGCCCGTGAAAGCTGCAACACGAAATGAAGGGAAAAGCGAATGAATGAATTATTCGACTACGATTTATGTACTGTCACTTTTTGTTCACATCTCTATAGAAGCACATCGGTAGTGAAGCGCAAGTTTTTGAGGCGTTCGTACATTCAGGCAAAAAAAAAAAGACTTCGTAAAGAGGAATGCTCAAATGGGACCGAATGGAAACTCGGGCTTGAGTATTGTTTACACGTGACATGAATAAAATGTGAGCACCCACATTTGCTTTCTTCGCACTTGCTTCAAACAAAATGGGCAGGGAAGCAGCTTACTTGCAGACTGTCATGTGCACCCCCCACCCCCTATTTTTTTTTTCTTTTTGTCTGTTCATGAATTCGATTCCGCACTATCGGCTATGGTCTTCATTGATGGAACATTTACATCGTTCACGTTCTACGTACACGTACTATGCCAATATTATTGGTATCTATTTTTTATGCGAAAAAACATGACACTCACACCCCACTTCTCAATTCATTAAAGAGCAGTTAGCTAGTTAAAAATTATTCAATACGGAATGCTTGAGCTGTAAACGGTAAATCTCCAACGCGATCACGCCATGTGACTCTTCTATTTGACTAGTATTTAAATTTTTTGTGCGTGTGGGTCTTATCGGTATGTTTGTTGAAAGAGACCAGAGGAATATTTTATAGTACCTAATGTATCTTCGGAGTAAAAATAGAGCTAATAAGCTAACTGAAGCAGGCACACCCATAATACCTTCAGCGAAGTAAAGCTATTCTAATGTTTCTTTACTGCTTGTACCACATGCAGTTATATTATCGCAGAGAGGTTTATACAAAGCTACCTTTATGCACCAGTCTAGTCATACAAATGGTGAGCTATGTAAAAGCGTGACATTTTGCAATTTCCACCAACTTACCACTCACTGATATCTCCATCAGCTGTCGAGGGGACGAGCATATAGGCTGCCAAGCTATTTCGTAAATGAAAACATTGTAGACAAATATACTACGTGTGGACTATAATATTTCTAATGGTTTCCAGAAAAACCGCGTCTTGTTGAGTAAACAGTTTTTATCTTATCTAAATAAGTGCACTTCGAGTTTTAAGCTCTGGTCAAACTTACCTGTTGAATACTCTGGACATCGCAGATATGTCGTCTTACATATTCTTCGTGATCTTTTGTCTTTCTCACACGGGTGAACGTATTCAGTCAATGTCTCGAGTACGCGTGTATGTTGTCCTTCCTTTATGAAGCCGTAAGAAAGGCCTACATTACGCCTAAATTACCCATGCCTAAGACCAGCACTGAACACAGTATCGTTAACCATGGTACATCACTACTAAAGCGCTTTGTGACGCTCCTTCGCTAAGATTCTTCGCCACAGTATTCCGTAACCACTAAAAGCTAGCTATTGTGAAAGTTTCTTTGTGGCAACGAGCATACCTATCGGCAGCCGCTGCTATACGCTTGCTGTCACGGGTAACCTTACCTTCCAAGAGCTCCACATCCTGCTGTATTATTATCTGGTCGATGAGGGCGAGGTACTCAAGTCCGGGCGCGCACACAATGGCGTTCTTCGGAAGCGCTGGTCTCTGCAAGGGAGCTTTTAAAGGCACGACACCAGGAACATAGTTCAATAAGGCACATAAAGTCAAAGGAGCCATATTCTCTCATCATTCGTCCTAGAGACAAAGACTTGTACGTACAAAAAGCTTTTAGCAAATTGAAGTTCGAGAACTAATGATCCCGTGGTTTTGGTCATCGTGATAGTGCAGTAAACATGGTTATCACTATTGGTTCGCGCTACGTCAGAGAGACGAAACTAATAGCAGGACACAACTTTTGAAGTAAGTGGTATTTTGTTCTCGAATGGCGGACACATAAAGTTGCTCGCAAGTAGGTTTCAAACATTTTTTTAAACCTCCTTGGTTGCTCAGCATGCACTCCAAATTGGTGTCACAAGCGACACGGCTGTGGCCCCGTCTTGAGAAAACATTGCCGCGGTATGAGCAGCACTGTTTCTTCAATATATATATATATATATATATATATATATATATTATGGTTGAAATGATTGGCTGACACACTTTTGTCACTTTTTGGGCCAACAGTTATGCTACTTCCTAGGAACATTGTTCGAAGGCCTCTGGAGCCATTTATACAACACGTTGACATACGGACCATTTTCTTTCAACGTGACCTCCTCTGTTTAAACACGCGTGATCAGATTTTTTTCCTTAGCCTTACAAATAGCTGTATGCAAGCTGTCTGGCCAAAAAAGCCTAGTAGGTATCAGTATAGAAAAATACAAAAAAGAGATGCGTAGAGCGGTCTCTGGTGCATCATCCGAGCTTTTCATTCACGGAGAACTTGCCATGGGCATTTCTTGTAATCTTCTGCTATGGGCTACGCTAGGATAAGACGCCATCTTGCTCTCTCGAAGTTTAATTGGTGTCTGCCACGATCGTCTTGTAGTTATGGTGCTAGACTTCTGACAAGCTGGTCGCGGGATTGAATCCCGGCCATGATGGCCGTATTTTCGATGGAGCAGAAAATACTTGAGGTCTGTGAACTTGGGTTCAGGAGCGCGTTAAAGAACCCCATGTCGTAAACATTTCCGAAGCCTTCGATTACGGATTCACCCATTATCGTACCGTGGTTTGAGGACGTGAATCTCCTGCATTATTCTAATTATAAGAATTTTCTTTACGATGTTAGAGGACATTGTTCAGCGTTTGCCTTTTAATTGCATCCCAAATGCAATCAGGTGTTACTCCCGCACAACGAGACGCTCTCTTTTCAGGGCCTCTTCCATTTCTTGATTGAAATTTTTGTGAAAGCCCTAATGGCCTCGAACAATAAACACAATCTCACTGAAAATATAGTATTTCATTTAGAAACGTAATGACGAGTAGAGGTTGAAGGTAGGGATGATATTTTTGAGGAAGTATGAAAAAAAGGGAATCGTTCGCGGAACTTCTTTCTTTGTCATAACTAACGAATGAAACCAACATCGCTGGTTCTAGTCATTCAGTTCTATGTGCCTCGTCTCGTTTCTTGCGGTTTAATTTCCAACAAACAATCAAGCCAAAAAAAAAGAAGAATATAAGGGACGTTATTTGCTTTAACACACTAGTGTAAATATTATAACCGAAATTGAAATGATTCCTCCACGGTGTTGTAGAGGTTCAATTGACGTCACCTGTGTGGTCCGAGAAAACTACAATATGTAATTCGGCAGTTTTTCTGTTTTTTTTTTCGTATGCCAGTATCCTTCATAAAAGCCTGTGTTGGTCGCTGTCGAAATTAAGATAGGAATATACATTTCTATGCAGTAAGTTAGGCTTACCTCGCACTGCAGGAGACCGCAATTTTTGTGCCCCGCCTTTAGTTGGCACTGGCATGCCTAGTAAAAAAAGAAAGAGAAAAAGTTTAACCACGAAACGTAAACAAATAACTTTCTCATTCCAAAGAATCTCCTACCTTCTGGCAGGTTATCTGATCCCCATGTTCTTTTAGCTTTTGGCAGAGAACTCAATTATATTGCAGCTCTAATGTAAAAGGCATGATCAGTAACAGTAAACAATAAAAGGCATGACCACGCTCAAAATATTGGTCTATCAAGTGTTTCAACACTACTGCGACAAAACCAACAGTGCTATTTCTTGGAAGGGTAGCGCTAGTGACATCTGAGTAACAAGAGACACATACAAACCCAGATGGATGTACCTTCGTCTGTGACTCGAGCAAGCAGATGTGGTCGAGCGTCGTCTACGCCACTGGTTAAAAGTGCTGTTGCTTGGGCGAGTTCATTCTTGGAATTTCATTCTTGGAAGTGTAGCTCTAGTGGACGCGAGCTGAAGGAAAGCAAACAAGGGACAGCCAGATGGAACTGCTTCCATCTTTCGTAGCCAGCGGGTGACACACAGGGCCCATGTCTGCCACACGCCCTCCCCCTAAATTCCCTTTTGTATACTGAGCACTAAATGACATTTGACTGCATCTGCCGACCCAGACCCCCGATTCAGATCAAGCTAGTCTTCCGCCCCCCACCCCCTGCCCCCCGAAACGAATTGCTGTCTGCGCTTCAGCAGATAACAAAACTGCTGTGATCACTCTCGAGGGCTGGCGCTGTAAACTTAACAGAAGCTATCTTTTAGTATTTAACAAACACCAATTTATCGAAAACGTATCGCTTTCGATAGTGGAAGCTGTGTGTGTGTGTGTCCTCTTGGCATTAGAAACGCGTACTTGCTGCGCTAATTACATTACACACAATTAGTATCCGATAACGTTCATATTTACCTATAATGTATTTCGTCAATATAAACCTAGTTTATTGAAAAAAAAGTGCTCTACAAACTTCAACATGATTGAAGGCCAAGTTCATAAAATACAATATACGCAAACCAGAAAAAAGGTAAATTAATAAATGTTGCACTAACGCGGTAAACAAATGCTTTGGCTCGCGCTACCGGTATTATTGAATATAATTACCAAGTAACAGCTTTTTAACATTACAAGGTTCCCATTTACAGAAGTACACAGACTCTTTACCGCAATATTCTTTCCATGATCTTGCCACCAAAACATCAACTATTTGTTTTTGTTTTCTCGTAAAGAAAAAGTTTTTCGAAGTTTTCTCGTGTTCACTGCAAGAACGCTGCGTTCTTGCACCTAGATAAGCCGTGTGCAATATATTGTGTGAATGTTTTTGGTGTTGCTGATAACTACCTTACATCATCACCACCATCAGCCTGACTACGTCCACTGCAGGACAAATGCCTTTCTCATGTTCCGCCATTTAACTCGATGCTGTGCTTGCTGCCGCCACTCTTTAACCGCAAGATTCTTAATCTTATCTGCCCATCTAACTTTCTGTCTCGCCCGCTTGCCTTCTCTTGGAATGCAGTCAGTTAACCTTATTGACCAGCGCTCTTCTTGCCTACTTGTTATGTGTTTGACCAATGTTAATCTTCTATTTGATTTGAACTATGGTATACTTAACTCTGAATTCTTCTCTGACCAACCCTGCTGCCTTCTTGTCACTCCAGGTTACGCCTATAATTTTCCTCTTCATTGCTCGGTGCGTCTTCCTCAACTTAAGTTGAACCCTCTCTGCAATTCCCCTGGTTTCTGCTTCGTAGTTAAGTACCGGCAAGATGCAGGCGTTATATAGCTTACTCTTGAGAGTAGTTGGTAAAAAATCATTCATGATTTGAAAATGATTGCTGAATCTGTTCCACCCCATTCTTATTCTTCTAGTTACTTTAATCTTGTGGTTCTGCTCCGTGGTTACTACCTACCCAAAGTAGACGTACGCTTTAAGATACTCTACATTTAACTCGTATTTCTTACTCTCCCTATTCTAGGCCTCTGAAAACCTCCTGTAAGCACGTGGTTAAAACCATACGAGAGATCATATCCCCTTGCCATACACCCTTCATTATTGATATTCTGTCACTCTCTTTATGGAGCAACCCACCATGGTGGTCTAGTGGCTAAGGCACTCGGCTGCTGACCCGCAGGTCACGGTATCAAATTCCGGCTGCGGTGGCTGCATTTTAGATGGGGGTGAAAATGCTCTAGGATCGTGTGTTCAGATTCGAATGCATGTTAGAAAACCTCGGGTGGTCGAAAATTCCGGAGCCCTCAACAATGGGGTCTCATAGTCATATGCTGGTTTTCAAACGTTAAACCCCACATATCAATCAGTCTCTTTATGAAGCACTATAGTGGCAGTTGCTCCGCGGTATATTTCTTCCAGGATTTTTATATATGTTACATCGACACCCTGATTCCGCAGTGTCTACATGCCTGTTGATATCTCTACTGAAAAGAATGCCTTCTCGTAATTTATGAAGGCTTTCTTTAGTTATGGGTGTATTCTATCTCGCCTGATTGATAGTATAAATGGTTTCGATTGTTGAGTAGACTGTAGGAAATCCTGCTTCACCTTTTGGTTGATTGAGTTCTAATGTTGCCTTAATTTTGTTAGCAATTACCTTTGTAAATAGCTTCTATACAAACGGAGAGTAAGCTGATCAGCCCATGATTTAAGTTTTTGCCATCCTTGATCTTGTGAGTTAGGCTGATGTTAGCGCTCTTACAAGATTTTGGCACCATTCCCGTCACGAAACACTTCGTAAACAGCAAGGCCATTTTTTTAACGCAATCTGTGCTACATCTTTCAGCAGATTTCATGTTACCTGATCCTCACCATAAGCTTTGCCTCTTTGCATTCCCTCCAAAGCTTTCCCGACTACTTCTGTCGTTATTGGTGGGATGTCATCTGGCGCCTACTAGTTCTATAAGGGGGTTCATCGACCAAAACCCAATGCCTGGTTTCAGGGGCGTCAATCACTGTCACAAGCTCAGCTATTCGTCGTAGTTGCCTTCTAGCTGCTCCGAGTAGATACTGTCTCTTTCTCTCTCCCCCACTACGCTTGCTCCAGTGGTGAAGAGGAGCCATGCTGGCGACTCACGACAATGCAAGCACAAGGGGATCATAGTATGGTTTTAAGCGGCTGATGTGGACTGTCTCACGAACACGGCATCGTCTGTCATCAGCAGGTGTCACTGGTTTGATGACGTATTTGACCAGTGATGCGCATTGACCAGTGATGCAGTACGGACCATTGTACTTGGGTGCAAATTTTCAGGAGAAGTCGGGGAACTGGAATGGAATCGAAAGCCATACATGGAATAAGCCTACGAGTGGAATAAGCCTACGAGGAAGCTGTGAGCAGGCTTGTCTTGGTCAAGCCTTTCTTTTAGGAGACCTCGTGTGATGGACGTAAATGAACTTGGTAATTGGCGGCACTCTTCGGCAGAATGAACAAGTTCGGAGGCTGGGTGGTATTCTGAAGCATCTGGGCGGTAAGTATTATGTCAAGCGTCGAAGAGGGCTCACGTCCGTACAATATAAAAAGGTGAAAAACCAGTAGTTGCTTGCGTGGCCGTATTATACGCGTACGTCACAAAAGGAAGCACCAAGTCCTAGTTAGAATGGTCGGAGGATATGTACACAGAGATCATATCACCAAGCGTGCGGTCAAAGCGCTCCATCAAACCGTTTGTCTGCGGGTGATAGCTCATAGTGGTGCGATGAATAATATTGCACTCACTGAAAAAATCATGGACGACTTACGATAGAAACGCACGCCCACGGTCACTAAGCAGTTCACGTGGCGCGCCGTGGTGAAGGACAAAGCTACGCAAGGTAAACAAGGAGACATCACGAGCAGCAGCGGCTGGTAAAGCAGTGGTTTCAGCGTAACGGGTGAGATGGTCAATGGCCACAATAATCCAGCGATTTTCAGGAGTACAAGGTTGTGGGCCGTAGAGGTTGGTGCCGATTCTATCAAATGGCTGAGCTGGACACGGCAATGGTTGTGATCCGCCAGAGGCATGACAAGTTGTTTTCCATCGCTGACATGCAGTGCAGGAACGTATGTACTTGCGAACGCACAAGTACATTCCACGCCAGAAAAACCGCTGACAAAGCCGGTCGTATGTTTTCAAAGCACCAGCGTAAGTGTTTTGAGCGTCTGCGTTGAAGTACGCGCACATGTTGGAGCGCAAATGACGAGGTATAACAACAAGCCATTTCCTACCATCCGACTGATAGTTGCGATGGTACAACATGGCATCCCGTATCGCATAATGGGGAACTTGTCAACGTAGTGCACGAGGTAGACGCTGGCGTGGTGTCAGTGAAGACGAGGAGAGAACATCAATGATCGAGGATATATCAAAGGGTCCTTGCGCTGTAAGGAAGGCATGTCAGCGGTATCAATTCTGTCGGTGGTAGATTCGGCGAAGGAAATAGGTGCAACGGCTAAAGGAAGGGGTGAACGAGAAAGAATGTCTGCGTCGGTATGCTTGCGGCCTGAGCGGTAAATGACGTGAATATCAAATTCTTGTAAACGTAGCGCCAAATGTCCAAGCCGGCCCGAAGGATCCTTCAATGAAGCGAGCCAACAGAGTGAATGATGGTCGGTAACGACATCAAATGGGCGTCCGTTTATATGGACGCCCATTTGTCCTTACTGATGTAAGGACAAAATTTTTGTAATGCCGAAACAATGGACAAACATTCCTTTTCCGAAACCGAGTATTTGTGCTCTGCCTTGGTGAGCGCGCGACTGGCATACGCAACTACGTACTCCGAGAATCCAGGCTTGCATGGAGCAAGGACAGCGCCAAGACCTATGCTACTGGCATTCGTGTGCGCCTCGGTTGGAGCAGTAGGGTCGAAGTGGGGTAAAATAAGTGGTGAAGTGAGGAGATGGTGTAATGTTGTCAAAGCATCATCGCATGCTGGGGACCAATCAGAGTGATGTCCATCGCCAGTGATCAGCTGTTTCAGTCGTGCGACTATCGAAGCAAAGTTCTTCACAAAGTGGCGAAAGTATGAGCACAGTGCGATGAAGCTGCGAAATGCTTTCATGGTCGTATACTTCAGGAACTCCGCGACAGCATGAAGCTTCTCTGGGTCCGTGAGGACGCCGTGTTTTCAGACAACGTGGCCAAGTATTGTGAGCTTCCGAGCTTCAAAGTGGCACTTCTGGATGTTTAGTTGAAGGCCTGCGCTCTTGAGGCAGCTCAAGATTTCGCTGAGACGATTGAGGTGGCTGTCAAAATTAGGGGAGAAAACAACATCATCCAAATAACATAGGCATGTCTTCCATTTTAGCCCACACAAGACGCTTTCGATCATTCTTTCGAATGTTGCTGGCGCATTACAAAGGCTGAAGGGCAAGAAATTAGATTGGTATAGCCCATCGGGCTATGTGATGATGCCATGGGGACCTGCCAATAATCGGACCATACATAGGTGTGGTGATAAGAATTCAGCGTCTTGCAAGCAGTCCAGGGCAGCATCGATGCGCCGCAAAGGGTGTATGTCTTTAAGCGTAACTTTGTTTAAAGGGCGCTAATCGACGCAGAAGCAAATGGAGCCGTGTCTTTTCTTAACAAGCGCCACAGGTGAAGACCAGGGATTGCTGGACGGCCGAATGACGCCGCGTTTAAGCACGTTGGCCATTCGCTCGGTGATCCCACGGCGCTCAACAGCAGATACACGGTAGAGACGCTGTCGCAAATACGCATGGGAGCCGGTGTTAATGTGATGGACAACGCTGTGCATTCGGCCTAAGGACGTCTGCTGGAAATCGAATGAGTCGCGAAACTGATGAAGAGGTTCTAGAAGCTTCTCGTGGTGTGGTTCTTCAAGTTTGCGATCGATTGAGGGGCCAAAGAAATTATTGTTTGCGTGACCAGGCGAACGGGCAGATGGAGTCAGTGCATTAGGCGGCAAATCCCTTTCACTGTCAAGGCTGAAGATTAAAGAAACGTCTAAGTCTTGGAATGTTCCAATACCTTCTCCGCGACGCAAAGTTGTGGGACACGGCAATGGCTTTGTGACAAACAAATTGGTAGCGCCCGCCGAAATATCTAGGACAGCAAACGGCCACGCGAGGCTCCTGCTACATTGGAATGTTTCGGAAGGCGTAAACAACACTGCAGACTTAGACACATCGGCACAAGACACGGGAACAAAGGCTGCGCTAGTCGGTAATACGTCGATGTCATCGGCGACGAAGAGGTTGTTCAACGCAAGTTCCGGAGACGAGGCACACAACGCAGAGAATGCGACTTAAGCACGAGCACAGTCGATAAACGCATGATTAAGAGAAAAAAAATCCCAGCCGAGGATCACATCATGAGAACACGCCTGTAGAAATTCAATGGTATACAAAACAACTTGGTTGAGAACGCGGGTGGTACAGGCAGCTGATGATCGAATATTGTGAGCACTGACAGTACGGAAGACAATTCCTTTGACATCACGGTAACCTTCCGAAGCAGGCGGCAAAATTTTAAATAATTGCTGAAACGGTGGCACCAGTGTCCACAAGTGCAAGGGTACGGTAACCATCCACAAAAACGTAGATAAGGTTTGTCGGAGAAATGCGAGGACTTAATTGTTTCGACGACGACGCAGTTCGTTCCTCGGGAACTGCGGCATTTAGTTTTCCGCGTCTTAAGGGCAGGGTCGGCGGCGCATAGGTGACAGGGAGGGACGGCAAGAAGATGAAGATCGGTGACTGACTCAGAGGGGGGGGGGGGGACTGTCGGCTGAAGAAGATCCTTGTTGACGTGCTGTGTCGTTAAAGCACCGAGATTTGTGCGACGATCTTTGCATGGTGTCGCTGTAAACGAGAGGGCGCTGGCGGCAGAAACGAGCCACATGTCCTGTGTAACCACAAGAATAGCAAATCGGGCGGTTGTCTGCGGTGCGCCACGGATTCGGAAGCGCCGCGAGTGGCCGGCTGAATGGAGCCGGTGATGACCGAACAGGGATCGGTGAGGTAGCATAAGTGGGCTGTCGAGGTGCTCTGGCTGCAACGACTCGCGCATACGTCAAGGCTGTGGCCTCCAGAGGTGGTGAATAGAGCGAAAGGCAAAGCGTCAGCTACCTCAATTTGTATGACGTGCCATATGGCCGGGGCCAGATGATCTGGAGCCAGAGGATGCGTTTGTGCTGGCTCGGGCATGCTCGATAAAATAGAGAGCTGCCGAGCGACCTCCTCACGCACGCACTGCTTTATGCGAGCCAACATGCAATTCTGGTCTCCGAGAGTCAAAGGCTGCGATCTAGACACGCTGTTCCTGAGAGCGTCGTGTTTCGGCATGTTGCTCGCACAATTGATCAAAACTCTGGTGCAAGCTGACAAGATCGGCTATGGCTTGTGGGTTCTTAACTAACAACATTTGAAATTCTTCATAGGATATGTCCTTGAGATTTTGTTTGATTTTGTCGGCTTCGAGCATCGCTGGGTTTACCCGCTTGTTTGCGCAATTCAACAACATCATCAATGTAACTGGTAAATGTCTCTCCTGGCTGTTGAGCCTGCTCACAAAGTCGTTGTTTTGCGAAGGGTTTTCGGCACAGCAGGGTGGTCGAAGACTTGCGAAAATGCGGTCTTGAACGAATCCCAGCTGGCAATGTCTGCTTCGTAATTGCGAAAACCAGACACTAGCGACGCCGTACAAGTAAAAGCTTACATAGATAAGCTTCGCCAGCATCGTCCCACTTGTTCGCTGCGCTCACATTGTGGTAAGTCGCCAGCCACTCCTCAAAGTGTCGGCCATCAGTGCCGCTGAAGATCGGTGGGTGACGTAGTGGCCACACGCCGGGTCATGCAGATGCGTGAACTTGGGAGGTATATTGGGTCGAGGGTTCTTCCGGCATGACTGGCACTGTGAGTAAGGTGCGACTTCGTAGTTGCAGCTTCAAAGACTACCCAAAACTTCCACCGATGATAAGGTGTTTTATTGACTAAAATCAACTGCCTGGTTTAAGGGGCGTCAGTCGCTGTCATGGGCTCAGCTCTTCGTCGTAGTCGTATCCTAGCTGCTCCGACTAGATACCGTTTCTCTCTCTCTCTTCCCCACTACATTCCTTACAATATGGTCATGGTTGTCCTGGATACTGTACAGATATCGGTAAAACTCCTCTACTACTTTAACTATCCTATTCATAATGGTTGTTACTTTGCCTTTCTTGTCCCTCAGTGAATACTTCTGATTTTCTTTCCTGTCCAAAATTCTCTTCACCGCTTTGACGCTTCCTCCGTTCCTAAGAGCATTTTCAATTGTCTCCATGTTACACCTTCTAAAATTGTATACTTTACGCTGAATAATCAACTTCAAAAACTTTGCCAGTTCTGTTTTGTCTGTTGCGTTTCAGGTTTTCATGCTTTGACGTTTCTTAATGGGGTTTTTCGTCTTTTGGGACAGCTTACTAGTGTCCTGTCCAACTACTTTACTCCCAACTTCGACCCACACACTCGTCAGGTTATTATTCATTGCATCAACGCTAAGGCCAGTTGCATCTATAAGAGCCGAGTATCTGTGCTGAAGCGAGACCCAGAACTCTTGTACTTTTCTTCTCAATTTTAGTTAATCGATTGATTTCTTGCGCATCAGTTTCTGTCGTTCATTTTTCATGTCTAGGAGAATTAGAGAACTCACCATTCTATGCTCACTGCATCGTACCTTGCCAAGCTCTTCCACATCCAGCACGATGTCTGAGCGTGCACTCACTATAAAGTCCATTTGCTCTTAAGTTCGCCAACAGGGTTTCTTCACGTCCACTCACGCCTCACTCACTTTCTGTAGAAGGTATTCAAAATCCATGTAATATTAGGCTCTGTGAATTCTACTATAACTCCCCTCTGGCAATTCCATTGCCGACGCCATAATCCCCTACTTTCCGGTATCTGGCCTGCTTCATCCCTACCTTGACTTTGAAGTCACCCATCATTATAGTAAACTGTGTTTTTACCTTACTCATTTCTGATTCCACGTCTTCAAAGAAGCTTTCAACTACACATCATCTTAGCTGGATGTAGGCGCGTAGGCCTGTATCACTTTATTATTTTATCTCTTCATAAGTTTAATTACGATACATGCCACCTTTTCATGAACGCTATAGTATTCCTTTATGTTACTAGCTATATATCTGTGGATAAGAAACCATACGCCCAGTTGTGTTCTGTCATCCAAGCCATGATAGCAAAAGACGTGCCCCTTATGTAGCACTGTATCGGCTTCATCTGTCCTCCTAAGCTCGCTGAGCTCTATTTTATACAATTAAACGCCCTCTAGTTCCTCGTATGGCACAGCCAGACTTACCTCACTGAATAATGTCCTAGCGCTAAACGTTGACAAGTCCTGGTACTAAAGACGGCCTGTCCAGACCCAGAGATTAAAAGCACCTTTTGCTGCGTCACAGATCTGAGTGCCGCAGCCGCAGAGGACTGAGGGCCGAAGGTTCATTGGCGTATCCATGTGCGAGTAAACAGCTGCATACGTCTTTGTAACAACGCTTACGTACTTACGGGGTGGCCAGGACACCCTCATGCTAAATGATCAGCATTTTTTCACGGTCTCCCTCAATATTATAGGTTTAGAATATATGTTCGACGACTTAAAGTATGATGAACTATATGGGAAAGCATTAGACGGCCCCATGATTGTTTAGAAGAACAGTTCGACAATTTAGGGTACGATGCTCTCTACTATGGGAAAGCAATAATGTTTCTCAGTAGAATATGTGTCTAGTAAAAGTGTTCAAAGATTTTGAGTAGATGGTAGTTTATTATGAGAAGGCAGAAAGCCATAATTCAGTGAAAGGGTAGCATCCGCAAATGCAACGCAGTATTAAGCTTTCCAAGTATTCACACATAACACGAGAAGGTGATCTGAAAGGCGAAAGCTTTGCTGCTTTAGCTAGGTTCGACAAGATTTCTAGACAGCCTCTTATCAGTATATCGAATGAGAGAAAACACAAAAAATGGCTTTCGTCTTTCAGTCAGCTTCGGAAATTTCAAAAGACTGAGTTTTCTTATTTCTCTTATTTTTTAGTGCCCCTCTCGAATAGATTACCAACTCGCCGATGGCACGATTCTTCGATTGTCAGAGTTTCTCTAGAGAATTCTACCTTTTACATTTTCCTGTGCTGCCCTCTGGCGTTTTCGCAGGGTTTAATGAAGCTCGGAAAACTAGAATTGCTAGAACGAAGGCCTCAGAGACCAGCAGACGTTTCGCAACTTCGCGGCATCGTAGAAGAGACCGATTGGCTATGCGGAAGCACTAGTTCGATATTCAGCTGTGCGTGCCCTTCCTATATTTTTCCCAGGTCTTGCGAAATCTGTCCTGACAAAAGCCTAACTACACAATATTCCTGCATGGAAATTTTTCGAATTAGCGACTGTTATGCTCGGAAAGCGTGCTTCGTTTTAAAGTGTGCTAATAGATATGGCTCTTAGAGTGCGTATCGAGTTGACGCGCTCGATTGTATCTCGTTCGCTACTGTCAATACGCTCTGTTGAGCTCTTAAGCTGACCGGAAGGCTTTCGATCTGTCAGCAATCGAAGTGGCGCTGAAAATGAAGCAAAAAAAAAAAAAACGCGGCCTTGTCTCACGAACAGCCTTTCGTAGCCCACGGTACTGTACTTCGTTTATCACGTAGTTGATCGTGCGGTGGCTGCATTTCCGATGGGGGCGGAAATGTTGTACGCCCGTATGCTCAGATTCGGGCGCACGTTAAAGAACCCTCAGGTAGTCGAAGTTTCCGGAGCCCTCGACTACGGCGTCTCTAATAATCTTATGTTGGTTTTCGGACGTTAAACCCCACATATAAATCATTCAATCACGTAGTTTAACGTTTCTTTTCTGTTATTTCTAATTCACGCGCTGACCATCAAAGCAACGATAAGCAAAACCAGCGAAGGATGAAGCCTCAGAAAGTGTAGGGAACATAAATTCTAATATTTGAAGTGTATTGTAGTAATTTTATCACAGATTTGAGTAAAAAAAACATAGCATGAACAAACAACTCGCCACCAGAAGGGACCAATGGCGCAACTTTCACATAACGCATCCCCTTCTCAAGCGGCTTTCGGCCTCTCTCTCCCTCTATGGGGCACATATGTGCATGCAAAACTGGGATTGTTAGCGCTGCTTGTTGCCATGACGTCGAGTTTAAAGCACAGTTATTTTTGCGTGCTGGTGTGACGGGGCACACGATCTTTACCGACCAGAGAGCTGAGCACTAAGCCACTGCATACTGCTTGAAGGCGCGAAGTTGGTCGAAACGAGACACTCACTATATGTTAAGAAAAGGTAGGGGAATTACCAAGCAAGTGACTCTTGCCTTACCGAGACACATCATGCATAGTGTTTATGAGGACAAAGCAGTTAGTGAACAAAAAACATTTTGTTTAATAGGATCTATCTATCTATCTATCTATCTATCTATCTATCTATCTATCTATCTATCTATCTATCTATCTATCTATCTATCTATCTATCTATCTATCTATCTATCTATCTATCTATCTATCTATCTTCTATCTATCTATCTATCTATCTATCTATCTATCTATCTATCTATCTATCTATCTATCTATCTATCTATCTATATCTATCTATCTATCTATCTATCTATCTATCTATCTATCTATCTATCTATCTATCTATCTATCTACCTATCTATCTATCTAACTATCTAACTATCTAACTATCTATATATCTATAGCAGCAGCAAGAAACTGTAGCTTCAATCCTGATGAAGGCCAGACTCTAGGCGAAACGTCGAAATAAACCACGTTGTGACCGCTCATGGAGGATCTACTGCACTATACTAGAGTCTGGCCTTCATCAGGATTGAAGGTACAGTTTGTTGCTGATATATATATATATATATATATAATCTTAATAAATATATCTATATTTATCTCTTTGTGTATCTATTTATCTTTCTATCTATTTATGTATCTATCTACTTATCTATTTATCTATCTGCCCATTTATCCATCTGCCTATTTATCTGTCATCAGTAACATTAGTCTAAGGATTAGATAGATATATAGATAGATAGATAGGTATAAATATAGATAAAGAAAAAAAAGATATAGATAAAGATAGATAGATGTAAATATAGATGTAGATAAACATAGATATAGATACATATTTATATCTAGACATATCATATATACATATCTGCCTGTCTGGTCGTCCACGACGGCTCTCGTGACCGTTAAGTCAACATGACCTGTTGAGCCCCATTACACTCGTTTTTGGACAATCGCACCTTTCTTACACCATACACATTCCCCCCTATTTAGGTCTTGTGTGCTCTGAAAACCAGGAAAAAAATTTGTCGGCGTCCCTGTGTGCTTCGCTCCAAATGCCGTCGAAGGATGATAGTCTTCTCTCTGAAGGCGCTGCGTGAAATATACACGGCATGCGGCATCTGCAGCAATGTCGGGAAACACCTGTCACGATGCTTTAGTGGCTAAGGCACTCGGTTGCTGATTCGCAGGTCGCGAGGTCTGATTCCGGCCGTGGTGGCCGCATTTTTTATGATGGCGAAATTTGTCATCATTCGGGTGCTTAGATTTAGGCACATGCTAAACCTTAGATGGTGGAAATTTCCGGAGCCCTCTTCTACGGCGTCTCTCATAAACCTATGTTGGTTTTGGGACGTAAAACCCGTCCCATTATTATTAATGTCTGGAAACAGAAGCTTTTGTAGAACACATAGCCAATGGTAGGTGGCCGCACCATAGTGTTTGCGAAGCGTACGGAACACTCGCTTTATCGTGCATGGCATCGCATTGTCACCGCAGCCAACAACAAAAAAAAAAAACGAGACAGGGTACTTAGAATCATGTAAAACGCTTTTTTCTAGTGAAACACACCGCCTAGCACTTACGCATTGATGTTGGGCCTCAGATATGCATGCGTCATGTTTGCTTTTTGATCGATAATGTTCACAAGTATGAACGTAGGTACCAGATCAGCTCGGCTTTGAGAAAGTGCTAAAACTGAAGCAATTGTCTGAATCGTTTGAGTGACTGACAGATAGACAGACACTCCAAAATTTCCGCTTCGAAGTGTCCCAAGAAAGACTGAGTGCTATGTGTGGCAGCACCATGATCCCCGCGCATCGTAATCATCATCACTATTCGCTGTTGCACCACACCTTCCACGGAGCGTGCGTGGCGTATACGAGGCTTCAGATGCAAGCCATACAGGAGAACGCTTTCAATGTCCGGCATGCACCGCTGATTGCTTGTCCTTTCGTCTTGGCACTCCTAATGATGATATGTGGGATTTAACGTCCCAAAACTACCATATGATTATGAGAGACGTCGTGATGGAGGGCTCCGGAAATTTCGACCTCCTGGTGTTCTTTAACGTGCATCCAAATCTGAGCACAAGGGCCTGCAACATTTCCGCCTCCATTGGAAATTCAGCCGTCACAGCCGGGATTCGATCCCGCGACCTGCGGGTCAGCAGCCGAGTACCTTAGCGACTAGACCACCGCGGCGGGGCGTTGGTGCTCCTAATAACTTTAGGACTTAGTACTAACTACAAAAGTACTATAAATATTTATTGTATCGTAAACCCACTACAGTAAGGTTCCTAAAAATTATTGCATTTTACGACTTTACATATACTTTAGATAACGCCCAAATCTTTGCTCAGGTTCAATGTCTTCTAGCTTTCTTCGTTCGTGTCTCTTGAGCGAATCGTTATACTTGAGA